ATTGTTCCCTCTCTCCAGCCCTCTTTTCAACCAATTAATTCGGCACACGCTTACGTCATCAACTTTAAGCGATACGCAGTCTGAATTCCCATCCCCGAGCATGTCTGGGATAGGTGAAAACCCTGTCCAACCAGAAACTCGTATGTGGACCGGCACATTTGCAGCACCAAAAATCCCACCTTAAGGCTTTATTCAAACTGTTATTCACTAAAAGTGGAGCAGGAAGTGAGTCATTTGAATTAGTACAAATATTTGCTTAAAATTGGCTAATACCCTTCGAGGAAGATTCTACATTCAGCGGGTTTAAAAGTCCTCCAGCACACAACCACAGCTTACTGGAAAACGGTTGTTTTTCATGTTCTTTAAAAATATGCAGATGTTTCAAATAGGTGTTGGTCATTTAAGTACTTAAAACTAAGACACAGCTATTTCCTAGCTACACTCAGGAGGCTGCTGCTCTGGAGCTGTGTTTGGTTTAAAGTACTAATGTTATCCTTTTTCCAGGCCATTATTCTAGCCAACATAAAGTATGCTGGCAGCTTGTGTTACACAGGCTCACATGTACACATGTGTTTTTAATTTCATGTCTGCCTGTATCTTCTCTTTCTCAGATATACCAGTGTTGCCTCATATACAGAAGTATCTCAACTCAGTCAGGTATATTGAGGAGTTGCAGAAGTTTGTGGAGGATGACAATTACAAGTAAGAAGCAAACAAACAAAGCTTTTGCATTATAGTTATGATTTCTTGAAAAAGAGAGATGACCGTCCTGCTAATTGTACTGCTTGCTTTTCTCTGTCACCCCCAAAAACATCATCACTGTTTCTTTTCATCATGAGGAATTTACAGAAGAGTATTGTAGGGTACTGAAATAGATTTTTCAATTGATTTATGCTGCATTTTTTTCTTTAGATTGTCACAGAAGATTGAGCCGGGCACCAGCACACCACGAGCCAACGCCTCCAAAGAGGATCTTGTCGGTGAGTTTAAATGCAGATCTTCAAGTGTAGAATTACCTGTATACACAGCGACTGCTTAGTCTCATTCAATCTGAACTGAATGTCCAAGTAGTTTCAAATTTGCACATTAGTATATCAGTTATAAGAAAAATTATAGTTTTTGTTTTGTTTTCAAATTAAATGACACATTTGTCCAATGTTGTTAAAAAGTAACATGTTTTAATTGATTGATCCTGTTATACTGTCATTAATGTCTTTATTCGCATAGATTGTTTTCAATTTCACTGTGCATTTCAATGTTTTACATTGTTTCACTTAAAGTGGAATTTAAAAGTTCTTTAAAATAATAAGAATAATAAAGAATTAACTTGTCATGTTCATGGTGTGTACAGAAAGAAAAAACATCTCTATTCTTCTGTTGTGGTTTTACTCTGTTTACAGGTCAGGAAGCGTCAGCATCTCCTCTCTGTGGACGTAAATGTGCGGTAGCACCAGACGGAACCAAAGTCCCAGCAACACCTCCATCCCCCAGGAACCTTCTGCCCTACGGACACAGGAAGTGCCACAGTCTGGGCTACAAGTCAGTTTCTATTGTTAATCTTTTTTAAGAAATAATTTTCATATGTATGTCCTATAGTTTAAAAAATATATACACACACACATACACACTGGTGCTACTCTGTCTGCTTTGTTGTGTCTCCACAGCTTTATCCATAAGACAAATACAGTAGAGTTTAAAAGTGCTACATTTCCCAATGCTGGCTCTCGCCATCTGTTGGATGACAGCGTGATGGAAAGCCACAGTCCTACCAGGGGACAAGCAGAGAGCTCGACTCTGTCCAGTGGCATTTCACTTGGTAAAACTTACACCTCTACAGTTATGAAGTAGAGTTTTTATGTTCAGTGGATGTTTTTATGATGTTTTTTATATGTATACAGGGAGCAGTGAGGGCTCGGAGCTCAGCGAAGAGATGTCTTGGCCAGCTTTTGAGAGGTAAAGCTAATGCATCCATGTCTTCACTGTTTTTTCATCATAACCACATGCCAAAATCAGATTGAAGGAAAAAAAAAATCCCCAGCCTGGATGTGATCATCTAAATTTTAAAGCTCTGGCTTCAAGGCACATTTATGCAAAACGATCTGCCATTGAAACCCTCTCACACGCGCCGTGCTTTTAGCCTTGCAGCCATGGCAGTCACGCCTCATCCGTCCACTGCTGCGCTTTGCCTTTAGCAAAGATGCAAAGGTGCTTCTGCTTCTCCAGCAGCCTGAAATGTATTAACTGCTTTAACATTTAAGTCTAGCAGCCCCCGTGCCAACCTGTGTCTGGAGCAAAACTGTGAGGAAAAAATGCTCAGCTGAAGAATCTACTTGCTTGAAAATCATCATAACCTCTTTTAAAGCACTGTTCCTTTTTGTAAAGTTTTGAGTAACCCAAAAAACACATCCATCGATAACTCCTCTAACCAAATAACTGCTCCTCATCTTTCCCTAATCCATGCTATTTAAATAAGACAACAACAAAAAAAACAGTGGGGAAAAAGAGAGCCACACAGCCTTAACAGTATCCCGTGCCCCCTATTTTGTCCTATTCCTATCTTATGCTATTCTGAACAGGACTCGGTTCTATCACTCTCTGGGCCCAGTGACCCGTGTGGCCCGCATCCCCTACAAAGGCGTCTTGAGGCCCAGCAGGTACACCCATCTCGACCGGAACAAACTTGATCTGAGCCAAAGCCTCTCTTGCCCTCACTTTCCACCCTTGAGTCCCTGCCAGGGGCTGCTGTGTGCTGGTGCTTAGTGTGTGTACTGCTGGGGTAATCTTGTAGTTTGAAAGAAGAGTGTATGTGCTGGTGAAATCACATATCTGGTGAAGGGAAAAGGATTCTTATGGTTCTTTATTTTTTGCTGCCTTCTCGAATTTCTTGCATGCCTGTCTCATTCTCAGACTTATTGAGGTTGAAGTCAAGGTATTGGAGTCTGCACGTCAGCCAGCTAAAGCTACAAGCGTTGACTTAACAGTCAAGAAGTCTGAGGATGAATCTTACTGCACCTTATTAAAACCTTTAAAAAATCTATATTACCATATGCTTCAGATATCATCTTTCCAGATCCTAAGATTATAGTCAAAATAGACTTCTTTTTGTGATTAGTTTCCAAAGTATTTCACAGCTTGGAGGTAAAAGCAAATTTCCAAAGTCACAGTCACAGTGCTGTCGCTGGAAAGAGACTGTTAAATCCTCATTCCTATAGTCGAGAGGAGCAGACTATTCAGGAGCATTAGCGTCCAGTTGTCATGGACATTGCATATTAGGCATCTCTTGTGGTTAGGGATTCTCTGTCTCTCTCT